ATGAAACTGGAACTCTCCAAATCGGAAAATAAATTGTGTAACTGATTAAGAAAATTGTCCAAAACGTCATTGGAAATTCTTTTGAACTCGACATTACTTGGTTCGCTAGTTTTCCTTTTCTTTCTTGCAAGTTTATATATCACCTAAGAAGAAATATTTGGCCAAATGCTTTGAAATTCTCTTCTGAGTTCCTCCGACAATCCTTAGTTTGTACCACTGGTACAGGGTTTGCGTGTTGGGAGTTGAAATTCCTGCGATCGTGCCGGTTTGGGTAGCTTTCTCTTCATAAAAGAACGTAAAGTTTAGACCCACTTCGTTGATCGTGAAATGAATCTCTGAATGAGAGACCGGTCAGAGTTTGAAAGAAAAATCTACACATTTCAATGCATTCTAAATTCTGAATGTGTATAGGTGTTGTGGTGCGTTATCGTTGGCATTTTTCATGAAATAATTATAAACGTTGTCATTGCCAACAGCAGTATTTATTGCGAGAGCAGCTTTCGATGACTTAGCCATCATCATGGCTGAGTAGTACGGAGGCTGGCGGTCGTAGTTCGGAGTACGGTCGTAGAACGGTCGACTACGGAGGTAGTCGTTTTTGTGGCTTCCATTCAGCAGACAACTGATGATGATGGCTAAGCCATCGAAAGCTGCTCTTGCAATAAATACTACAGTTGGCAATAACAACGTTTATAATTATTTCTGAATGTGACCAACAATGCCCAAATAATCCCAGTGGAAACGCATTTTTCACTTTAGCCTGAACACCACCTAAACAGCCAAATTTCACGGCCACGCCACCGCAAATCCGAGCAATAAGTGTCTCGCCTGAATTAAAATGATTCACAATTATGAAACATCGGTAGATCTATCAACACCCCCGTCTAGAAATGCCATGTGCCTCTCTTGAACTTCACCATATTTATTCAAATAACTCAAAATGGCAGAGAGTTGTGATTCATTATGTCTGAACACTCGTCAAGAAGAATAGCAACAAAATTCACAGAGGCAAGTTCCTTTCTAACTGTATGTACAACAACACCACTTACAGCTAGAAATCAAACGTATGAATGTAACGTATGAAATAACAAATGAAGTACCTCTCAAAATGGTTGCATGATGATTTAGGAATTGGTTATACTTCCTGAGTAAATGTAATGTTTCTATGTAGTTTCCTCTATTACACGATGTTTCTGATTCATCGCGTTTCCTGAAACCATATGCTAGCATTGCTAAGAGAGAGACAACATCTATGAGTCTTGTTAGTAGCAGTCTGTTATTCTTTATCATTTCGTTGTGTTTCGAAATTTGAAAAGCACTTAAAGATATTACTGAAATTACAGAGTAAATGTAAAAAATATAGGTTTTTTTGTCTTAACGTGTTTGTCTGAAGAACTATCAAGGGAAACTATATTCTCCAATCGTTTTTTGCCCAAAACTATTGTTACTACTATTATCACTGCTAAAAAGACACGGCCAGCAAAAGAGTATAATTCAATTTAGTGCAACACGTTAAATAAGTCTAGAATAATTAGAACACAAAAGTGTCTGCTGTACTTTCATTTCTTGTCTTGGCATTTTGCAGACAAACTTGGAAGTTAAATTGAGAGCGTACCGTAGGTTTTTATTTTTAGCTGTCCTGAAAACCCAATACAATTAAATTCAGTCATCTGTAACATAGTCACACGAACCACTAGCATATGAATCATTTACACACGCATTAAAAAATACTTGAGGGAAGCAAAACTTAGGAACAACCTGCGAAGGATTGTTCACCGCAGTATTTTAGGGTGTCTGCCGACCCCCCGGCCCTGCACCCTCCCCTCGCCATGCTACGCATTTCATGAGGTGACCAAGATTACTGCGATTGACATGCGGTACCTTCCCTGCGCTAGCGAATTCTCTGGGCAGCATTACGAACTGAGTGAAACTCCAACCTCTTTCTTTATGGCACAGAAACCTGCTGAACTGGCTCTTAGTAGCAAAACAATGTTTTTACGAATGATTTAAAGACATTAAAATATCAATAACGTATTAGGGGATTACCATACTTATGAAGACATTTCTTATACCCTTCGAATTAGATATACCGACGGTACATGCGGTGTATCGGAGAATTTTCCACTGATAGTGAGTATCTGATATCGAAAATGTAAATTTGCTCCTACATACTACAGTTAATTACTTCCTCTAACATATTTTGTAGCCATAATCCACGTTTTGGAGGTTATTGATACTAGAGCCACCAAATATCTGCCAGTGAACCACGCTAGCGCTTAAACCAGGGGTGTCCAACTTGCAGTGCCTCAAGAACTACAAGATAAAACCTTTAATATGGTTGCGAGCTATATTTACATTACGCGACTACAATGCGGTTGATGCGATGATGATTATGCGATGTATACCGAGTATTGTTGATCTCGGCAGTTTGCCTGGCTGCTCTGAAATTGGGGGAGGGGAGTCAGGCGTGATATCAGGCCATACCATGCATAACGCAGGGAAACTCATTTGCATGATATTGAATTTCTGAATTACTAAGAAAAATTCCTAAATCTAAACTTAACCTATTTTTACATTATGCGAGTGTTAATCCCGACAGGGCGCCTGCACTAGGGGCGCGATGTTCTCGCTCGAAATGGGTGCAAGAGACTTTCACGTTTGATTAATAATATTTTGGAGGCCACAACAAATGGCACCGAGGACCGCCAGTGGCCCTGGCCTAAGCCATTCACATCATTTTTAATTTCATCTATCTTTCTGATGTCGCGGCTCTGTGAATTTAAAACAGAATATTTAGCTTAGGAGGATAGTTTACATAAAGACATGTTCATGATCAAGATCTGTTTTTGCTTTAAAAATGTTTCTCTAGTGGAGTAAGTTACGCTTATAAAAATGGCGCAAGTTCAAATTTTACCGAATTATCTATACATTCGAATATTGCAAAATGTTGACCCTTTGTGGCGCCTTTCAACAACTACTGTACTGTTGAACGTACATTTTTTATTGAAATCTGTTCTTTAAAATTAGATCTTCATTACAAACTAAATGCAAACAGAGAGATTCAAGATTCTTTTTGAAGTGTCGGTAATGTTTGTATGACAGCTCAGGTGTGCGGGTAACGGGTAAGTGAAGTGCTGCGTCTGGTGTGGCGGATCTCGTTCCCATTCCTTTAAATATTGTACTGCACGTATTTTTCCTATGACAGCGTGAATTAGACGGATCAAGCCGATCATTTGGTGGGGGATCACAGTTTTTTGATAGTTATTATTAATTATGTTTAATTATTAACAAATATATTTATACATTTTTGTTGCATAGAATATTATTTTTGAAGTGTATTTATACAGAACAATCATATTTTTAAATAATTACATAATTCTAATAAAAATAAATATTTAAATAAATGTGGCCAAATAAAGTAAAGAAATAAACAAAAACTCTAGGCCTTTTAGAGAGGGGCCATGGCTCCCACGTAGGGTTGCCATAAGGTTAACAACGAAATTCAGGACATCCAAATTATGTTTCAGAGCAAATCCTTATTTATACAACTAAATAGTGTATCAAAGAAAGCGTACAATGAAATCTTTTATCTGGCAAACAACTAAATGCATAGTAGGGCAAGATAAACTACAATGAACACTTTTCAAGAATAGCACAATGACCACTCTTTTTCTAGGAACAATTTCCCTGACTTTTCCAGATTATTCAAGTCAATTCCTAATTTTTCCAGGACGAAATTGTTAAATATTTCAGGGTATTTAAATAACATATTCAATAAAGCGTGATTTATTGACTGAGCCCTTTTCGCGTTTGCAGCCCAATTTCACTTGCACTCACACACTGTGAGAGAGACAGGTGTACATCAATTCAAATCACACAATACAGTAATGATGTCTCGTGTACCGACTTCGGGTTACACCGTAATCCCCATCGGGTGTGGTTCATTTCCCCTGCTTACACTCTTTTTACTAACTATTGATGCCACTATCGAGGGCAGCCCGGCTCCCCTTGGCTCACACACACACACACACACACACACACACACACCACA